AGCAGGAACACGCTCCCGCTAATGGCAAATTCAAGCCCACCCTTGGAGGTCCCCATTTCTGTGGTAGCAAGGACACAGTCCGAATTTTTCAGGAGGGGACAAGCGAGAAAACATGAAGGGAATGAAGACGGCTTTGACCCTCGTATTAGCAACAAGTCGCTCCAGCGAGTGTGGAGCTGCTTCCTGCCGCTGGAGGGAGAGCTAGAGCCTTGAAATTGCCAGGAGAGAGACAACCAAACCTCAGAGGCCCTCAGAGCAAGCCTAGCTGGAAGCGGAAAAGGAAAAAAGTCCCCTCACTCCAAGGGCAACGACAGTGCATTGGCTCTCCCCCAAGTTTGTAAAGGATGACCGTGTCAAAACTGCAGGGCAGACTCGCTTTGCAGAGCGCCTCCCTCCCAGCTGCTGCCTCCCAGCGCACACACCCTACTTACGCCTTGGTAAGTAGCCATGAGTCTGCTCGTGGCTTGCGTACACCCTTCGGAAAAGATACTTGCACGTGCACAGAACAAGCACTGTGATGTGCTCCAGCAGACCTCAAAATCCTCTTGAGGGCTTGCCGTAATGGGAAAGACCTGCTTGCCATTTTGACTGGCTGAGTTAGAAGATAAAGGCTGTCTTCCTCCAGAAATTACCACCATGCCCAAATGCGGTATACGAGCACAAATGCACAAATGCAGAGCTTGATACTGCCCTCTGGCCTTCAGTGAGTCTCCCTTCAATGTCAATGAGAGACTTGAACGGAAATCATTACGAAGAACAGTCCCTGTCCTGTAACTAAACATTTAGTTATCTGTTCAGTACTTTATTGTCATCTCATGGAAAAAATGCTGGTTTGGGACATTGCTGTTTCTGTCATTTCTTTCCTTTAGCTGAGCATCTCCTTCTCTGCTGTACTCAAGTTCCATGTTCTTTGGGTCTTAATCCCACCACTTTCTTCACTCTTCCTTCCCCTTAAAATGGCGTGCAACAATGTATACTGAGCTTCATACTGCTTGCCAACATTATGTTCTAGGGTCAACCCTCACTGGACAAAGATTAAAGTTCTCACCTTCTGGAACAGCTGTCTCTGGTCACATGTTGTATGGGTAGCTTTGCAACTATACAGTACTATGTTTTTGATTAACTTATATTTCAGAGAATATGCACTTTCATTCAAGAGCACATTAAAGGACATCAGATACGTGACATTTCTGTCCCAAATGCCCAACAGAAGTAAAGATCCAACAGTCTCCTACACCCATAAGGAGAATGGTGGTGCAGCGGTTAAGACACGGGAATGGAAGGCATGTGTCCTGAGGCCCACTCCCACAGTCATCTTACAAACAACTGTATTACCAGGTTTTTTTGTTTGTTTTTCAAGCCAAGGTACATTCTTTCGTATCAAGCCTCTAACAGCAGCCCACAGTAACTCATAAGTATCATCTACAATTATTAAAATGCTAGAAGATAAATCCCAGTTAAGCAGGTTATCAGGGTATGGTTCAGAGTGTAGAAAAGGCTTAAAAAATCTCTAGTTCATTAATTAGCCCTGGCAGAACAGCTTCTACAGAACACAATGAAGAGCAGTAAGAAACTGGAACAAGCCCAGAATTGTAGTATGTGCCAGCCTAGCCCAAGCTTAAATCAGTAGAAGTGAGGAAGATCCTGGGTTTAGTTACCTACTG